TGATTCTGAATTTTATCTTTAGAGGCCTTGCAGTGAATGTGCTGAATGTCTTGGTTTTTGAATATTATCTCTAGAGGCCTTTAATAAAATTAACTTAAAAGTGACCCCTAGGTAAACATTCTGAGAGATTGAAACCTAAGGACTTTTGGAAAGAGGTTGGCAAGAGGTCACAGCAATGATGTGGAAAATTTCCCAAAGACCCAGGAAAGGAATCGGTTGGGTAAAAGATCCGAGCCCAAATCTGGGAGTAGTGACAGGTTTGGGTAGGAGGGGCCCAAGATGGCAACTCACCCAATAAAAACTGTAACCTACAGTCCCAATTTGGAGGTAATCTTACTTGCAGAACACCGAAGGAAGAATCGCGAGTGTAGGCCAGATCAGACTGATCACCTGAACCACCCTCTCCATGAACAAGAACTCCCGTTCATGCTGAAGCCGCGGAGCACCCAAGTGGGACCAAACGAAGGGGACTTGTTCCTATCACTGCTGAGACCAAACCTAAAACCATAACTAAAGAATGAAAGTCTATTTGGGGATTTGGTTTCTAGGAATTCTAGGATTGTAAGTATACCATGAGAAATAACCTTTACAAGGTGTTACTTATAGCTGTATTTTTGTTACTTCTTATTTTTAGTGCTGATATAGGAAATCAACTTGTTTTCATACTTATACTGTGTTAGATGTCTACAATGACCTGTAATGAAAGTATAGTTATGATCTACAAAGCAACAGAGGGATCCCTTAACATATTATTTGAGATTTCTGGCTGAAGCACCTTATTGTTTTTCAAACTGCAAGGTGTTATAGCCAGAACGATCTCCACAATAACAGTTAAGAATATGAAAGTTTATCCCTAGCATGACAGAAAGTTGATATTGGACTAGCACCAGCAGACTACATGCAAGTTAATTTAGGCAAACTGGGCACTTGGCATAGATTATTGTAAACAAACACACAATAATAAAAAGGCTACTGTAGTGATTTTGAGGAATTTAGTTACATAATTTATGTATTACAGTGGATTGAATCCAAGAGGCCAAAATATATGTGGACTGCAATCTCAGATACATTAAAATGCTAGTCTAGTGGAAACAGCAATGCACCAACACCGACGTGATATTATATTTGTAACAGGATTGCAGAGTGCTTTATAATTATGTTCAGTTTACTCTATTATCAAAGATGAAATACTTGCGCTGTCCTGTGCATTCTGAACAGAAGTATCTGGACAAGATTGAGATGTACAAATGAGAACTATAACATACTATCAGCATTACTGGAGAAAATGTCCAGAGCTGGAAAGTGACATGCTTTCTCTAGAACAGTTTAGAATGGTTCCTTACTAGTCTAGCATATGGAGAGAGTATGTTAACCTCCAACTTGAAGCCACAGCACAGCAATTGTTGAATGGGTTCTATATTCCCACGAGGAAGAGAGCTATGAATAACTGCTGAACAATTCTCCCCCTAATAAGCTTCTGAATGAGAAATCTCTATCTACAATTTTGTACCCATTTCCATAAAATACTTTTCATTGACTTTTCATTGGTCTCTAATGATCTTACTGTCCTGGGTGCTGGTTATAGCTGTGTTGGCCTAAGGATATAGACAGACAAGGTTCTTTGAGTAAATGTGAGATCTTTTATTAGACCAACTGAGTAGTTGGGAAAGTTGTTCTTTGCAAGCTTTCAGGCACAAACACCCTTCTTCAGGCATAGGGAGAGTTTACTGGTGTTTGCGCGCTCTTCTGTGTGGAACAGAAGCCACTATGCAAAATACAGGTCTGTGAAAATGCAACTGCATGGCAATGGCGATCAGAGGGGATAGGAGACAGGACAGGTGCGAGACAGGTAGGTGGGAGGGGAAGGGGAAAATGCTGACCTGCTAGTAAAAGGTAGCTGGTAAAATATAGAGTGGCTATGTGGGGTTATTGGATGGCAGGCAAGTTATAATGTGCAATAAATCCAATGTCTAGATTGAGTTTATTATTTTTTGTATCCAGTAGATTTATGAAGTGAAGTTCATAGGCTCATCTATGAAAGGAGCTTTGTAAATTCCCTTTGAGGATTAGAACTGAGAGACTGGAGAGAGAATGGCTGTTTTGTGAGAAGCATACACCCACAAATAATTGCGTATTTTTGTACAAAAAAAAAATCCCCATGAATCACACACCATTAGTTATGACATACCATTACTGGAACCTGTAATGCAAAATCCTCAAACAACTGCAACCCATACTAGAAGAAGACCCAATTCTTAAAGAGATCTTCCAGAATTACCTTTAAACAAGCACCAAATTTCACTAACCTCATCACCAGAAGCAAAATTCCTATGGCCCAAAGCACACTGAATGGATCCACAGCATGCCAGGACAAGAAATGTAAAACCTACCAACACATCTCCACCATTCCCACAATAACTACACCCCATAACAGAACCATCAGCATTCCTGAATTTTACACCTGCGCCTCCAGAAATGTAATACATCTCATCCAGTGCCCCAAATGCCCAGATGGAAAATATGTAGGAGAAACCAAACAAGCGTGTACCAGAACGCACACCAAAAATCTATTAAAGACAAATATACACAATAACCTGTAGGTGCATACTTCTCAGAAGACAATCACTCTCTCTCTATTCTAATCCTCAAAGGGAATTTACAAAGCACTTTTTAACAGATGAGCCTATGAGCTTTACTTAATAAATCTAATTTAGCCATCTCTAAATTAGTGGAGCAATACACAGTTATAATCTCCCTTGAATGTAATGTTGTAGCAGTTGTATTTAACCACATTTAATTGCCAAAATATGAGAAATTATAAGACTTGCGTTCAGGTTGGTTAAGTATCAGTACATTAATGTAAAATATAGTACAGGGATCTTTATTTTGGGAATAGATTCAGAATATTCAGTTTACTGCAATTATAAACTTCAAGAAATTCAAAACAAGTTTAAATGATTAAAGGGCACAAATATAACGCTTAAACAACCTTGTCCCCTTTTTGTGCCACCAGTGGGAGCCAGGAGAATTTTTTTTCCAAAAAGTCAGTTTTACCTTATCTGTACCAGATTAAGATACCTTAATAAAATTATATCACATTGTATGGTAGCACTAACTGGCAAATGTAGACATAAGATGTACCAGCAAACAACTACAAAACACTAATAACACTACCCAAAAAAAGAATGATCTGAGTCAAGAAACTAATCTCTGGCCTCCGGCCTAGTTATGCTCCCATTTCAGCATCTAGAGCAGCTGATCCTGGCCCCACCCCCAAGTTTCTGAATATGATCCATATTTAGATACTAACATAAATAATAAAATTACTAGTGATAGGAGAAAACACCAGAGGAGGATTGATTTAGTTTGTTAAAAATCATCTCTTATTATTTCAGATTTGTATAATGGATTAATTCAAATATCTGATGTTTTATAATACCTTGATTAATTTATAAACTCAAAATATTATTTTAGAGACATCTGACAAATTTCAGTTTCTTTTCATACTATAAATAACCAAAGATAATAGACTGCATTCCTAAACTATTCCTATAATTTTTTTTAATCAAAATCAAGTGCTACACATGACTTCCTAAAAAGAATATAATAATCCCTTCACGTAAGTCCTTCACCCTTATATCATCATATGCAGTTCCAGATGTGTTTAGTAGGTTTAATTTTTAATGGACTGTGAAACTAGGCAAAGTGTACATACATATTGCTAACACTATTACAAAAAAATACCACGCCTTCACAACATTAATTTTACTCAGTTGCTACAGATTCTCCAGAAATGTGTGTCATGCTTCTCTGTAGTTTTCCAGTGTAGATGCATTTAAAGAGAAGTTGCATCTATGCTGTATCTTAGTCCTAATAATAAAGATTATTTTAATGGTTTGTTAAAAGATTTGCCAAAAATCTCAGCCTTAATTCAATCATGTGAAATATCTAATATAGTAAATGGTACACAGATATTCCAAAAATAACTACAAATGAACACTTTGGGTCTAACCATATGGATAAGCATTTAGGGAACCTAAGCATAAATTCTGAAGAATCACAGGGACACAAACACCCTTCTTAAAGGGCATTACATGTTTGTATTTTTTCTTGAGAAAACTAAGCTGCAAATATCATTATGTACAACTGTGTTGAGAAGATTCCGGTTCTTATAAAATTCTCTTTCTGTACATCTATTGTTGAAATTGTAGTTTTGCAACTGTGATTTGTAGTTAAAGAGTAGTTTGATTGTTCTTTAAAACATTGATTTCCACAGGTGACAGGAACAGTGTGATACTCTGGACAAAACTTACTGGCTTGGTGGAACTGCATAATATTAATAAATGAGATGAATATAATAAAAAGAGTGATAATTAAAGGTTTGGTTTCATTTGATCTATTTATATCAAAATTGTATTCCATAAGATTAAAACAGTATATTCTTCATCAGTTATATTTACATAAAAGTCCTGCCCCAGAGTCTTCTGAACCTCAGCTAACACTGCTTTCCACCTTTCCTGCAATTCTGAGCTAATCAATGTCACACTCTCTAATTATGCTTCCTGTGCAGCAAAGTTAGGTTGTTTTGATAGTGCAAGTTTGTCCAATGATACTGCATCTACTTGAAGAGCTGTGGGTAACTGCAATAGCATAACTTCAAAAATTAAAATGTGGGTGACTGAACACTACTACAAACTGCCAATTAAAAGTCATTTTTGAGCCTCCATGTGCTATCTTCTTGGTTAAAAAACTCAAGCAGAAAGTGTGAGCAAACGCATACCGTTATGTAAGCTTGATGACACCAAACATGAAAATTCTGAAAGACTGAAATATTGTACAAAAGCTTACAGGTTGGAAAGCTATTCAGAAGCCTGCTGTTTCCCTAGGTTCTAAATAATAAAGCTATTAATGCCCAGAAAACCCGAGGCTTCTGAATAGCTTGCAAACCAACCACTCCTTTTTGACAGATCCAGGAAAATACTTTAAAAGATTTATTATACCTCATCCAAGCAATTGACACGGACATTCTTGCTACCCAACAGCCTTCCAGCTTCTTCTGTATTTCCTTTAAAAAAAAAAAAAAAAAAAAAAAAAAAAGGAAAAAAATGGTGTTCCATTAAAAGTAAAGATGGAGAGAAGAGTCAGAAATTAAGAATCAAGCATTTTAATCAAGAAAATTAAGAGCTTACTTTTTTTTCTCTTCTGTTTAACTACTAATTTACAACACCTAGCCCCCTTCCCCCAACAATATGCCAAAACCCACATCCACAGAAAAAGTGTTTTGATGGCAGTTTTTCCATTAGTTATTCCACAAGCCCCATTCACATTAACAGGGTGGAGAAACAGGTTGCTTTGTTTCACTTCACCTCCTGGAGGCATTCATTCTATTACAGCAATTTTTGTAACCTTCTCTGATACCTGATATGACTGGAGGAAGAAATCATGATTTTTGCTCTTTATTTTAATGTTTCTAATATACTCTTTAATATTTTTCTCATATCTGTATCGATGTGTTAGGATGATTTTCTGAAACTATTATTAAAAAGGATTGTACTGACACATCTTTTCTTTCGATCATAATTTTTCGTATATGTTTATATTATACATCAATTTTAATGCGTCTACTATAGCTAAACTTACTACTGATGAAGACAGTACAGCGCCCAAACAGTACTCATAAAGTCCCAAACTACATACATATGCAAGCTATATTAATGTGATTTTGAAGCAAAATCTTACTTTAAAAATGTAAATCCTTAACATTTAAAAAACACCTGTTCTGCATCTGACAGTCATAGCAGCTGCTGTGAGGTCTAACTCCAGTGTCACTTGTGAATCAATGATAGTGTTAAACAATAATAAACTATGTTGGCCTTGGATTCTGTTGGAACTTGTTTCAACGTCAAATTAGCTGGGGTATTCTGACTTTATATACAGCTTTGTGCATGTCCTTTCACAGCATCTGATGAAGTTCCCTGGAGCTCATGAAAGCTTATGCTATAGACTAACTAAATCAGAGAAATATAAGGTGCAAGTTTATAGTTTCATAGTTTCTAGGGTCGGAAGGGACCT